TCGTGCATCAAAAGACAGTTCATGAAGATATAATGCAGGTTATTCCAGGTGCATAATCGAAAAAGACGTGAAAGTTAATATTATGCGGTTTCGAACCTGATGTTCTATCGAATTTCAAGGCACTTGTATCAGAGATACGAATTTGGGCTGACGTGAAAATTGTATTTTTGGAATCTACGATCCATAAGCTTTCTGTCGTTGTGGCATTCTTGAATCACGAGGCCGGACGTGCATGGAGATAAAAAGCAGTTTTTCCAGCTGTGCAATCGAAAAAGACGTGAAAGTTAGTATTATGCTATTACGAACCTTATGTTCTATTTAATTTGAAGGCTCCTGTAGAAGAAACCTGAATTTGGGCCAGTCTGAGTATTGTATTTTTAGAATCTACGCGCGTGCTATGCCTTTTGTCGATGCCTGATTCGTGCATGATTAGACGTCATCACTGGACGATAAAAAAACAGGTTTTTACAGCTGCATGTCTGAACGAACGAGACGTGAAAGTTAATTTAATAAGTTAAAATTATATTCGAACATTTCGCTGCCCAAAGTGATCCCGACACAACCAGGAATCGAACCTAGCTTCTCACACGTGCAACACTTCGTCCTTACCGTTAGACCACGTCGGCTACACTTGCTGTAACTGCCTTTTTTATTCTACTTAACTCTTTCTCGTCTCGGGTGGAATTAATAAACAACGATGCCTGACATTAAAATACTTTTGGCACAACCAGCAATCGATCTGACATTAAAATACTTTTGGCACAACCAGCAATCGATCCTGGCTTTACGCACTTGCAACACTTCGTCCTTACCACTAGACCATTTCGCCTACAGTTGCTTTAACTACTTTTCTATTCTACTTAACTCTTTCTCGTCTCGGATGGAATTAATAAACAACGATGCCTGACATTAAAATGCCTTCGATAGAACAAGCAATCGATCCTGGCTTTAGGTGCTTGCAACACTTCGGCCTTATAACACTAGACCATTTCGTCTGCAGTTGCTTTAACTCCTTTTTTATTCTACTTAACTCTTTCTCGTCTCGGATGGAATTAATTAACAACGATGCCTGACATTAAAATGCTTTCGGCACAACCAGGA